ACTTTCTTCTTGATTGCTTAGCTCTTCTTTTGTTTATAGATGTGCTATGGTAGCCAGAGACATGTGGAAAAGGGGGGGATGGTGGCTTTATGTTCATGTTACTTCCACAGAAGAGAAAAAAACTGTATGAAGAACAAAAGCAGCAGTTCTGAAAATGTAAAACAGCATGAGATCCGAATGTGATGCTTGAAATGTTCTGTTGTTGTTCAGTTCTATATACCTCTATCCTATATTTGTGTATCCCCATCCATTTTCTATCTGGCTCCTTCTTGCAGAACTGTTTGACTTCTTCAGAAAGCAAACTTGATGTGGCTTCTTTTTCTTTTTTTTTCAGTCTGACGAGGAGGGTGGCAAAGAAAAGGAAGGTGAAGATGGCCAACAGAAATTTATTGCACATGTTCCAGTGCCGTCTCAGCAGGAGGTAAGACATTAGAAAACTGAACTGCAGAGAGATGCTCCTATGTTTTTATTCTGTAGCTGGTTAGTGCTCTTGCAAATACTATGAAGTTGACCAGAAATAAGGTATCACTGCTATATCTATCTTCATCAGAGTTGCCAAAAGTGTCATAAATATTGCATAACACTACAACACATTCAAACTTATCATAGAATCATAAAATTCTGGGAGAACTAGACCTGGATGTAGTACTCCTGGTCAGGTCTCATAAGAGCAGGATAGAGGGGGAGAATAACTTCCCTTCTAACCACATTTATTTGAATGCAACCCAGGATATGACTGGTTTTCTGGGCTGCAAGAATATGTTGCCAGCTACTGTTTAGTTTTTTTGTCCACCGATACTTAATGTCCTTCTCCACAGGACTGCTCTCCCTTCATTGTCCGTCCTGTGTCATGCAGCCAATATTTGTGTTTGAGACTGCCCTAACCCATGTGTAAGACCTTGCATTTAGCCTTATGAACTTCACGAGGTTTGCACAGGCCTACCTCTCAATCCTGTCAGGTCTCTGGATGGCATCTCTTCCTTCCAGCACCACTCCACTTGGTGTTGATAGCAAACTTGCTGAGGTGCACTCAGTCATGGTTGTTTATGATTTATCAGTTACGATCAGGATAACCCTGGTTTCCCACTAAATCTCATTATGCTTTTCTGTTAATGGTCTGTTTTTTTCAACTTAGCAATTAGTTCTGAATTGCAGAGTTTGCTCTCACTTACATAAAATGATTTTGGTGGCTTGACTTTGAATGACAGTTATGGACTGAAATAGCTCTAGAATATATATTACATTAACTGTGACAGGTAGCTTGATATGTAACTCAGTCAGAAACATTCTGGAGTTAGATATGTGTTGGTAGGTATGCCTTGATGTCACTCAGATGCCTTGTGGTGTTTAACCACCTACTCTCATCTTGTTAGATTACAATGCTGTATTCTGCTGTGAAGTCATGATTCTGTACCTTCAGCAAAATATTTTTAATGGGTTGTCAAAACTGTAAAGAGAGAAACAACAATTAAAAACATTTCTGACTGATGGTCTTTTCTAAATGAAGAGAGCTTAACAGACTGAAGACTGGTTTTGACTTAACCATTGATTTATATAGCAGTCTCTCTTAGTTAGACAGTACTTAATGTAGTTTGGTTTTTTTGAGTGTCAAATCATTCCATGCCTTATGCCTGCGGGATTTTGCGTTCTGGATTCTGAACTACAATTGCAGCTAACTTCCTCATTGAAAAGGGGAGGGGCAGAGATCTGATCACTGTGTTGCTTCTTTTGACTTCCATGAACATTTAAATATTAAAGATGATATTCCTGATTCATCTCTGTTCCACTAATTTATACTAGCACAGGCCTCTGTCACTGCCTCTTTTGCATTTTTCTCCCTTAACAGCTGGGCATTCTTGGTTTCAGCATCTCAGTTAAGCTGCATGTCTTCATGTGTTTATATTTGCAGATTGAAGAAGCTCTTGTACGGAGAAAGAAGATGGAGCTTCTTCAAAAGTATGCTAGTGAAACTCTGATGGCACAGAGTGAAGAAGCAAAAAGACTTCTAGGATTATAACACTGCACTAGTATGTCCTGTTGTTCTATAATCTGTCCTAAAGCAACAGTTTCTTCTATTCTGGCAGCAACAAGTCTAAGCTCTGAAAGTCCTATGAATATAAAGAGTAAGTTGTGATTAAGTTAGTGTTTCCTACTAAAGGGAAAACACCCTTTTTGTTTTATGTGTCAGGATGGCTTGTACTTTGGTGCTGAGAAAGATCAAGCCTAGTTTAACCTGGTGTCTGCATCTTCAGTAAACAGTCTTTCAGTCCTTTCACTTTGTGAAATGATCTATGCAGTGGTGCCTCTTACAGGTTGAGCAGCAAGCCAAGACACTTATAAGCAGTGAGAGAAATCTGACTGATGGTTCTGCCATTCTGTATTCTGACTGTAAGTGTACACATTTTTCTCATGTTGAATTTAGCTGACCTGAAGTCCAGAAGTAACTTCCTCTTTGATGCCTGGTTAGTTTACCAGAATAGCCTAGGATCTGTTTCAAGATGACTTGATGGGCAGATCTTATGATTGGCTTTGAAGGTGATTTGCTTCTTTATGTAAAGCGTAACGTGTCTAAATTTGTTGCCATTTTTATGGTTTATAGCCATGTTTGTGTGAATTGCCTGAATGCTGGATATTTCAGCAGCCATTGTAAATACTTGCATCTTTACAATACCTTGTTCAAATACTTCTAGTAAAATTTTTGTACAGACCGATGTCTTGTTTCATTCTGGCTTAAAGGATCATTTTCTCCTTAATCACAGTGAAAGAATGGGATCATGAAGTCAGACTTGCAGTGATTTGAAGTTGTGCACCCCTGCTGCTCACAGCCTATGTATAGTGGTAAGAGACAGCAAAGCAGAGGGCCTGCTTAGGGTTTTACAGTGACCCACACTGTTGTATGGGTCTGAATAAAGGAAACTTTAAATTATACAGTCAAGGAGCAGCAGTGCTATCTATGGAATATAGTGTTTAACAGCTAACCGTGCCAGGGACCTACAGAGTTTCTAATTGGTTTTAATTTGATTTCTGTTTTATTTCTATTTCTAATAGAAATTGTAACAAAGCAGCAAACTAGTGTGTTTCTGATGGATTTGGTGTGCTTTGAGTTGCACTGTGCATCTTTCTGACGCTGTTCTTTGGTTTTTGCTGCTGCCCCTTGAGTGTTTTCTGGTCTCGTTTTTATAGAAGTTAATGCACTTGATCTGCAGGCTACTTGTACTGCTGTGGAAGACAGTGTTTTTCTCCAGAGTTTCTTCCCTGAAATGTCTGGCCACCAAGGATGAAAGAACAGGCTCCTGCCATGTTGGCTCAGGCCCATGGACTGGCAATACTGGATTAGAGCAGTGTACTTCACCTATGGGTTTGTTCAGTGTGTGCAAGCTGAAGACTCTGCTGCCCAGCACTAAGCCACCAAGTTCCTGGAGCTTACTGAGTTGGCAGGCAGCCTGTTAAGTCCTTACCATTGGTCAACAAACCACTGTATGACAAAAAGGGGAACAAATATAAAATAAAAAGCAAACTGGGACTGCCCAGTGGGCTTGCCAAAAAGGCAGTTAGAATTAAAGCTTCCTTGTAAACACCCCCTTTGCAATCATGCTTCTACTAGGCTGTATTTTTTTGTTTTTCAGTACAATGACTGTTTTTCTTCTAGTGGAAGAGTAGTTGTAAGAAAAATGCAAAATGCTATGCTCTGCAGGTAACCAAGCTAGACTTAGTGGGGAATAAATCCACTAGCTTCTATGGCCTGCTGTGGTTTGGGAGTTTGTGCACACCTGTGGTTGATTCCTTCTGTCACCATAAGCATGAAAGAAAAAGGACAGACAAAAATTTGGGACAAAGTGGTGGTAAGTGGCATAAAAATGAATAAGCAGGAAGAATGAGGAAAAGTTAAAATAAGATAGTTATTGTATTCGTGTTCAAAAGAGTAGCTGAAGCCCTGATCAAGACCAATGCAATAAGACAGAAGTCGAAGCAAATGCTTGTCTCCACTGACCAACACAGAAATGGAACGTACGTATAAAAATGCAGTGTGGAGCTGTGCAATGCAAGCTGCCAAACACTGCAGCACTGCATGAGAAGTGTTCTTCAGTGTGTCTGAGCCAACAAATTGTGCCGTAGTCATTTCTCAGCAGTGACCTCTAGCAATACCTGCATGCTGCTGGCTCTGCAGGCTGTTTGGCTGCTGGGAAGTTGTTGTAGCCATGAACCTGACCTAGCAGTTTGCCTTGGAGAATGGAATGGTGTGTGGCTCTGCGCTGACTGCTGCTTTGGGTGTGCAGCTGGACTTAGGGATGTGGATGCAGTGGGCTTGTAATTATCACTGGTGCAGCAGTTCAGCTTTGACTGGTGATTACTGTACATGTGCACGCATGTGCTTTTCTGTTCTGGAGTTCTGCATTGTGCAGGGTCTTGACCTGGACCGTGAAGGAATGATCTCTGTAGTGCTTGAGTTGTTCTGTTCTCTGCAGCACTCTGCTCGTGCTGTTGTGTTTCAGAAATGCACTGGCTTGCTTTCATTCCTGCCAGCCGCGCGTGGGCCCCGGAGGTCCATTTGTCCTTTCAGTCTGAGGGGTTGTTGTGAAGAACTGCTCAGGGTGCGGTGCCAACACTGAGCGGATCTGCTTCATCCGCGTTAGCCGATGGGGCTACCCATCCCCCGGTAGCGCTGTTTGGCTCCTCACGTCGAAGTTCGGGGAAGTGCCGCAATACCGGTCCTGCATCCGAGGTTCCGCAGTACGGATGCGATGTGCTTACCTCTTTTCCAAAAGCCGGTGATCCCGAAGTGCCGGAACGCGTGCCGGCGTTGCTAAAGAGACGCGCCGTTCCCCGGTGGAGGTGCCGCGCCGTGCCGCTGCTTCCCGTGCCGGCGGCTGCGGTTCTCCCGGCGCCGTGCGGGCGGTGTCCCCGCGGCTCGGGGCGGGGCGGGGTCTTCCGCGGGGCGGGGCCGGGCTTCGAAGCCGGGGCGGCGGCGGCGGCGGTGCGGCCGGTCGCGGAGTTCCGCCATGCGCTGGGCGCTGCCGCTCCGCGGGCTGCTGGGGTCGCTCGGGGGCGGCGCGGCGGGGCGGCCTCCACGGCTGTCGGCGTTCGGAGGGCGGCGGGGCGGCCCGGCGGCGGCGGCTGTCGGGAACAGCGGGAAGGTAGGAGAGGAGAGGAGAGGAAAGGAGGGGTTCGGCCGGGCGCTGCGCGGGGCGGGGCGCGCCGGAACGAAACCGAAACGGCGCCGGGCGGAGGTGCGGAACGCGGGGAACGGCGGCCTCGGGGCGGGGTCTGCGCGCTGCTGGGCGCCGTTCGCTGTGCGGCACGTGGGACGGGTGTTTGTCGTGCCCTACAGCGAAGGGCTGCAGTTATGGAGGGGAGAAAGCAGCGCTGTCCCTGGGAGCTCTCGTGCGGAACTCCGAGCGGCAAACAGCGTAGATAATTCAGTGATACCGCCGTGCTTTTAAGGCACTGACTTCGTTAGGTTGGGCGCTGTAGGGGAACTCGTGGGTGTGCACACGTGCTCTGGGTCGCGGTTTTGGGAAAGTGCTCGTCGAGGAGAGGACCAGCAGCCGCGGACGGCGGTGTCCGTGTCAGCGCTGTGCCCAGCTGTGGGAAACGCATCGGATGAATAATTGATGGAGAGCGAAGTGCTGCCTCGGAAGGCAAGGTGCCTTTGGGCTGGGTTCTGCCAGTCTGTCCTTTCAGAGGGCTTCAGCAGCAAAGGCTGCCCCGACTCCACTGCCCGCAGTCATTCCCGCCCCTGTTCTCCCTGTCACGCTTAGCACTGGCCCTTTTTCTCTCAATCCTTGTTAATTCTGAAGCCCTGGGCTCTGTTTTAGCGCTGGCAGAGGAGTGAAGCTTCGTTCTGTTGTGTCCCCTCTGACCTGACGTGGTAACAGTGTGTCCGTCGGCAGCACTGCCTCACCCAGCTGGTTGTGATCCTTGTGGGCCGATGAACCCAGTTCTTCACTTATTCAAAGACAGAGAGTTAAAAATCTTAGTAACAGCTTTAATGAGGTGCCAGCTTTAACAGGACTTAGTGCGTCATGTACAGAACTAGGTATTGCTGAAGCACTGTGTGAGGGCCAGGAACAGATAGCTGTAGCAGTGCTAGGGAACACAAAGAGGACAAGTGGCAGCAGGAACAGCTCCAGCACCTGGATGTCTTGTAAGGGAGGAGTCGTGTGCAGTGTGTGCAATAAAGCCCTACCTCCTCCTGAAACGTCTCCGTTTCTTGTGGCTATTAGTGGGTTCTGTCAGTATTCTCTGCATTAAAATTGCCCAGGTCAAGTGAAATCAGAAGCGGGCTCACTGGTTCAGCAGTGTGCATCTTGCCCCTCATTTTAGCACCTTACCTCAGTTTGTTCTGGTCTCTGAAACCACGCAGACTGGGCAGAACTCATGGGTTGTGTAGATAAGGAGAAACGAGCTGTAGTGTTGTAGCATGTGCCTATGAGGCATTTTAAGAAGTGCCCAATAAAAAATCCTCTCCTTCCCTGTGGAAGTGTGTATTTTAACTGAGCTTCAGGTATTGTACTTTTTATCAAATATGTGTGTGTATGGACAATTATTGTACTGTTGCTTTTCTATTCCTTCTCACAGCTGGATGTGCTGCCATCCTTTGGGTTTCTTTTTGATATTGACGGTGTGCTGGTACGAGGAAAGACTCCAATACCTGCTGCAAAAACAGCCTTTCAGAAGCTGGTTAACTCTCAGGGCCAGTTCTTGGTGCCTGTAGTATTTGTCACCAATGCAGGGGACTGCCTTCGCCAGAAAAAAGCAGATCAGTTGTCCCATATCCTGGGAGTTCCAGTGAGTAGCCTAAATCCTATGTATTTACTTACTTTTGGTGAATGCGTCTAATGCACGATCTTCCATTACATGCTGCTCAGTGAGTTTTTGTTCTAGCACCATAGTTAAAGCCAGAGCAGTTCTGAGTTTTCTGTCCCCATCTGTTTTCTAAATGAATTTAGAGAACCTTGTGTTTGTGCTGAGTAGAGGAACTGTGGAAGCTGGAAGCATTGTATATTAGTAGTGTAGTTATGTCTTTTTTTTTTCTGGGACGTTATCAGAACTTTAGCTGTGAGTTTTAGGAAGAAATGATACAGCAGGGTTTTATGTAGACATGTATGACTGGTTTGTAATCCATAGAATTTGCATACCTGTAAATTAAATCTCTGTATAAATAACTTCTCTGAAAAGCAATATACTCCTTTTCTGTTTTTAAATTCCAAACAGATTTCACAAGACCAAGTGATGATGTCACACAGCCCACTGCGGATGTTCAAACGTTATCATCCAAAATGTGTTCTTGTATCTGGACAAGGACCACTTCTTGATATTGCTCACGAGTATCTTTAAAAGAACAAAAGAAACTTTCCATTGGAGTATTTTCTTTGATCAAGTTCAGGAGGCCAAATATTTCAACACTACAAATTTAGTATTGAGAGTTCACTAATTAGCTCCGTTAGTTCTTAATGTCCAATTTATGTTTTGAAAATGATTGGTTTGTTGATTTTTGCTTCAATTTATTTTACACTTTTTCACTCCTGTCTTTAATGAGGAAGGAAAAATGACTGTTATTTTTTTTGGCTTATGTATATGCAGTGAGCCTTTGGCACAAGGGTTTCTGTTCTCTTGAGAATGAGAGCATGGCATCCTACATAATCATATAGTTAGTCTTATCTTAGAAATGATATTTCAGAGCCTGAATTTATTCCTTCTGTTCTTTCATCTCCTGTTATCATCTTCAGGTCAGCCTGTTCAGGTTAACTGCCAGTGTTTGTTAGGCATGTTAAGAGAGAAGTGTGTGATAAGATTGAATGCAACAAATAAGCAGCCAATTTGTTAGATAGCATTTTTACAAGGGATAACCTTATTTTCAAACAAAACCTGCACTGTTAATTCTCAAACAAAATCCAGTGGCTTTGCTTGTATAATCAATATATTTAAATGCCTGCTATTTCCATACTCATTGAGGAAGTCTTATTGTTAGTAGCATCCCTCTTACCTTTTACAAAATGAGCAGATTTAGTTTGGTTATGTCTTAAATGAGTTAAAATTAATGGATACAGATATTTAAGAGTACCGCTATGCAGATCTGGGAATTTTCTCACTTTTTGCTCCTTTCTTTTTCTTAAACATGTTTCTAAATTTGCCTTAACTACTTCAAGGCATAGTTAAACCTTATTGGTCAGTCCACTGTTTTGCAATAGATTGAGCTTTCCTTCCTATAATAATAACTTAAGTTGCTGACTTTTTATGTTTATGTAAAGATAATCTTGGGAGTACTGCAGGTGTTGAATGCCTTCTTCCTTTTCATCTTGTATTTTGAGCCAGCTCTCTACTCCATTTCTGTCTTAAGACTTCAGACATATAGGACTTTGTAATGAAGCAATGATCGTTTCTCTCATGCAAGAAAAAGTCTTTGGTATATTGCTTACATTCCTAAGTAGTCTGTTTTCCCTGATAAGCAGCACATGTGAACATTAATTGTCAAAACTGAATTACAGATTTTTAAAAATATTTTGATAGAAGCAATTCTACATCCTTAACTGGTGTTCTCCCAGCCTTGGGTTCAGCCAGCCTGTCACCGTTGAGATGCTGAGGGCGAAGTACCCACTGCTAGATGTGGTTGACCATGACAGAACACCTGGTGTTTTGGTGAGTCTGTGTTTTAAATATTTTTATTTGGTCATTAGATGACATTCAGCTGTGGAGGTCAATATTTGAACTGTAGAACTGATGAGTTGTCTTATGTTGCACTGTGACTTTGCTTTTATTTCCTGCTTCTTTGTTTTATGGCAACATTTTTCAAGGACAACTGTGCAGAGTTTTTCTTCTGTTAGTGGTAATTCCTTAACAAGTATTTGCATTTTGTAACTCACTGTTGTGTGATTATTACAGATATGTAATTCAAAATCTGCTTTGGAAAGCTTAGTGGCTTCCTTAGATGCATGGAAGATGAAGTAAGCTTTTTCTTCCAATAGAGGAGTTTTGTGGAAATGATTCCATAGGCCATGAAGTTGCTTTGATTGTAATGATTTACAGCTAATGAACTTTTCTCCAAAAGGCTGCCTTTATTGTTTGTACGGTTACTTAATTATATTTAAATATTAACAGTACTACTGCTATAGTTTACATAAGCAGCATGTTTTAAACAGAGTCTTCAGAATTGCAGAAAGAAGTGAATGCATATGTCACAAATACGTGCATGTATATTGTGCATATACAGGGTCAGTAAATAAAGGGTTTCTTCCCCTGTGTGTAGTCAGAAAGGTCTTTGTTATGGTTCATTCAATTCATTACTTAATTATATTATGTCTTTCCTTGCTTCTCAACCATGCAATTCAGAAATTCAAGAGTCCATTCATGTTTTTGTCACCGTGGGCTGTAGATCATGAAGTAAAAACTGTTTAGCAAATATATTATGAATTAACAAGATATTTTTTCTTAGCACTGTTAAAGGCATGTATTCCAAAATATGTATTTCAAATCCTTTGTTAATGCTAGAGGACTGTGTTACTGCTATAGAAAAATAAACATCCATGCTTCCGTACAGAAGTGAATCATCAGCTGAAGTTCTGAGCCTTGCTCAGGTTGTTGAATAAACTGTCTGAAGCTTCTGAATGTAGAATGCAATAACTTGCCTGCTATCCATTTGCTGCTAGATTTCAGTTTAGAACTTGAAATGCACATTTCAAAGTAAACTGGCCTTGGTTGCTGGAGCAGTAGCTGCACCAAAATAGTGCGTTTCCTTTCAGTGATGTGAAAGGCAGCTGTGGGAACTGTACTTGAATTTCATTCTCTTAAAAATAGTAGCAGATGTTTAATCTTGTAGAAAACTTTCACTTTTTTTCTTATTTCAGTCCCCCTCTGCTGTGGAGCTTCCCAAGATTGAGGGTCAGTTATGTTTACTTAATTTGCAACTATCCCTTAATAGATGGAATATCTTTATTGTACTTTTCATTATCATTAGAATTTATTTTCAGATTGCTGGTCATATTGGGAAGTTGGCTGAGACAATTCTAAAGCTTCCTCACTGGTGACATCTGTTATTAATACAGAATGTATAAGGTGTGGAAAAACTGTTTTATGTGTACAGTTTTCAGTCATGTGTTTTTAAAGTTTCCGAAGGAAGGGGAGGTCTGTTTTCCTCTTTTATCTTACTTTAGCAGGCTGTTATTGAATTCCTTTTAAATATTAAGAACGAATTGACATGTTCAGAAATAACTGGTCTTGATTTCAGGAGGGTCACCTCAGAGCTGTAGCATGAGAAGTATCTTGTTACAGCATGTCGTAGTCATCCTCATCTTGTCTGAAAAAACATTAAAATAAAAACTAGCCAAGGATTAAAATAAAAGTGCCTTGATTTTTGGGGACCAGAAAATTGTGTAGAAACAGCATCCAAATTCTGTTTTAACACAAAGTAACATTACTGATGGATTATACTGTACATGAACTTAGAGAGTTCACAGAGGAACAGAGGACTTAGAAGTATAATTTACAAGTTAACATTTTGTGCTGTGGAAGAATTTGGCCATTGCAAAGAATCAAAGAATTTCTTAAACTTATAGATTTTGCATTGGGAGCTTTGTTACTTCTCATATTCTTTAATGAATGAGCAGGAAACATAATGTTTTAATGTTAATGCAAGTATTTCATTTTGTCACCTTTAAATCAAATTAATGTTCAGCCTTGTTAAACCAAGCCTGTATCAGAGGTATGGTTCCCTGTTAACTCTGTTATGTATTTCTTGGTTTTACAGCTGTTGTTTTGTTTGGGGAGCCTGTCAGATGGGAAACCAACCTTCAGCTTATAATAGATGTTTTGCTGACAAGTGGCTATCCTGGAAATCCGTATCACCATGAGAATTACCCTCATATACCTGTACTTGCTTGTAATATGGATCTAATGTGGGTAGCTGAAGCACAGTCTCCAAGGTAAGGGCAACTATAACACCATATGGGTATGGCATGTGACATCTTAAGTTTTTCCTCACTCCTTTAGTACAATACTTACAATACTTTAGTCAGTATTTCCATACAGCATTTCCTTATGGCTTTATGGTTGGTCTCAGATTCAAATACAAAATTTCAAAAGCAGTGTGTTGTCAACAAATACTGCCTTATTACTACCTATGTCATTGTATCCAGGAAATCAGTTGCTGGAGATAAGACTGCTTTTATGACGTCAACTTTTTTGTTTCCCCACTCACAAAAGGGAGATTTTTGCTTGAAGTCTTAGAGTTTGTCCACAGGAAAAAAAAAAATAAAAAAAAATCTAATGTTTCATTTAATTAGATACTTTTTTTTTTTTTTTGTATTTTCCAACCTACAGTTTCTGGCAGGGTGAAGAATTGTCACGCTAGTTAAAAGCAACGAGTTCTTGAGCTGAAGATAATATAGTGTAAAGGAACATAAGAAAAAATGAATAGAGCACATAGGACAGGATGGCATGATCTGAGAGTGTTTTTATTTTATTTTGACTTTAACAGAAGGAAATTCTTTAACATGTTTATTTCCCCTGCCCTTCCCCTCTGTAAAATGTGAACATACACATAGAAATTGTTATTATTGTGACTGGATAATGGGCTTGGTCTCAGGTAGGTGATCTTGTCAGACGTTCTTCCTTGGTTATGAAGACCATATCTAACACATTAGCAAACTGTGTATGTATACTAGTTCAGTAGAGTAAGGTGATGAGAATGTGTGTGTGTTTATATAACATATATAGGAACTAACAGGCATATTTCCAGTAGTGTTCTTCAGGAAAGATCCAGTATTAAAACTGAAATAAAGTTTGCTTTTTCCTTTGAGTTTGTTACCTTGTCTGCTGGAAAGTAACTCCCTGACTGTGTGGTTTACTGGAAATAACATTATGCTGATTTATTTTGATTTCTTAAAACAGTAAACAGGGTGGAGAGGGTGAATGAAGTGATATGTATTTGTTCATGCCTAATTCCATATGCTGATTTCACTAATGATGTAAGACTGCTTTTTTGGTTAGGAAATTATGTCTTTTAAGTTACTATTTTACTGCCTTGGTTGATGAGCTGCATCACTTGCTGTTTGCACCTTGCTTGAGCAAATAAATTGAGTTATCAACAGCTTGCTGCAATATTAATTTGTTCCATGATCTTTTGCATGTCTTCTTGAGAGAAACCAATGAAGTTTTCTGTTTTCATATTATAGACTGCATTTTGTATACTCTTGTTTTTAAAGACAGATTAATTTTCCTCCTGGTGGTTTCTGACTTTCCTTTTCTATTTCTCCTCTTGGTATTTCAGCTGCTTCTGTTCAGTCACTGCAAAGAGCAGATCACAGCCTAGGCATTATTTCAAAGGATGTCCCTTCTGTAAATGATCAGATCTGTGTAAATGCATGCAACACTGTTGCAAATTATTGCTATGTTTTTAAAACCAATAAGTTCCGATTATGTTTTCTTCATTATCATCTTTATAGGTTAGCTAATCAGCACTTAATTATTATTGAAAAAGCTGTGGGAATACTGCATGCAAATGGAGGGAAATCTCGTAGTAACAGGAATTGATTCACAAAAGATAATGAAATAAAAAAGGTCTTTTTTTTTTTTTTCCTGTATGCTTGATGTAATTTGATTTGTCTCATATCTTTCCATCTTTTTAGGTTTGGGCATGGGACATTCATGGTTTGTTTGGAAAACATTTACAAGAAGATTACTGGCAAAGATCTAAAATACGAGGCCTTAATGGGCAAGCCTAGTGAACTGACCTATCAGTATGCAGATTACCTTATCAGAGCTCAAGCAGCAGAAAGACAGTGGAAGCAACCCATTCGAACTCTTTATGCTGTTGGGTAAGAAATTATAAGTTTAATGAATACACCAAGAAATTACTTACAAGATAAATACAGAAAAATAAAAAGAGCTAGAGTTGATTTGAGGTGTAATTGAACTTGGTCATATACTACTATGCGTGCAATGACATTGTAGAATCATTTTAATAGAATGAGATAAAGCTCTGTTTTATCAAGGATTGTTCCAGAATCTCCAAGATGCTTGGAAATATAACCTCATTAATGGACTGCTAATACCTGCCCTTGCTTTTCCCTCACTCTCCCAGTCTGGAATTTTCAGTATGGAGAATTTTCACTTCTATTAAATGTCACGGTTAATGAAGTTGCATAATAAAATTGCTATATGACTGGATTTTCTCCTGTGTAAATAATTCCACATGAAGTTAAAACCTTGATGTCCTTTCATACACTTGAAGTCGGAGAACTAAAATTGTGCTGCTGACTAAAGTATTATTTGTATTTCCAGAGATAATCTTATGACTGATGTCTATGGTGCTAACCTTTACAATCGCTATCTTGAAAAGAAGAATTCCAGAAAAGGTTCAAAAACATGGATTCAGGCCAAAGTTGCTGGAGGCAAAGGGTCTGCTGCTCTCTCTCAGGATGATGAAATAGACAACAGCTGGGAGAATGAACTGGCATCCTCTGCTGCTACCCACTGTAGGTCTGTTCTTGTTTGTACTGGGGTTTACAACCCTCACACAGAGGTACCCTTGGATACCAAGGAGAGCAGAACTGAAATGGTATTCCATGGCCACAGAGATTTTAGGTTTGATCCTGGTTTAGTAGAACCAGATCATGTGGTACCAGATGTTAATGCTGCTGTAGACCTGATCTTCCAGTTGGAGAACTTTGTTCCTAATTGAGATGACATGATTTCTTCAGGACTGCTCAGTCTTATACTTTTCTTCCCCTAAACTGTGCTTTAAAATCATGCCACAAACTGCTTTTTTTTTTTTACTTTTTAATTTATATAATATTATATAAATATGAAAGTAGATTAATGTGCTTAATATACTTAGTATAAGTCTATAAATTTTAAAAAATATGTTTAAAATACTTAAGATTATATAAGTATAAATAATACTTTTAAAGTATTTCAAACTAATTTATTGCTTTAGCTGTCCTTTGTTTGGATGTTATTCATTATTTTAGGTATTCCAATAGTTATTTTTCATAATTGCTTATGTTTTATTGGTCCTTAAATTCCTGTGTGACCATTCATTTTTTCCTTTCTTGAAAGATTTACCTTCTAGTTATTGAAGGTCTTTGATAGTGGGACTGGGTCATTCACACAATTACAAATTGTTTGATATAGAGCACAGTAAGTATTCTGCAAAAAATGAGCATTCTTTCAAATATGTTGCTTCACATAAGAGTTGAATTCGAGTATGTTCTGTCTGTGTACTCACTCAGATGTAACCGTGCAGCCTTTCTTTTTATCTGTTTTCCAATGTATCTGGACCTGCATTGCTGCTATGCTCTGACACGTAAAGCCTTAAAAGAAATGCCAGTATAAGCTGATGAAGGCTGAGTTGTTAACACAAATTTTGGAACTCCTGCTAACTGAACAGTCATAAAGAGAAAGCAGCAAATAGTGAGTGTCCTGTGGGGTGTAACACCTGGCCTTTTTGTTGTTGCCTTTTTATTTGCACTTCTGTGGGTAATTTTGGAAAGCTTTAGAAATTTTTTGGGGCATTTCAGCTGGACTTCTCCACTGAATGAGTGACTGCTATTTGGGCAAAAAGTGCCTATTAGTTTACTTGAAGCTTTGTACCACTGTAGTGGTAGCTGACTGTCCTCGAGTGTAATATGTTTTGTCTTGTGTCAATGTTATGTGTTTGGTTTGTGGATTTTTATAACTGTTCATTTTTTAAAAAACTTATTTTTATAAAATACTTCTAACCATTTTAATCCAAAAGATGTATTTGAAAATGTCTTCTGTGTTGGTTATAACACAGTGAGATAAACTGTGTGTCTGTCCCTTATTGCTTGGAAAACATAAGTCAATTAAATGCTTAAAAATGAAGTCAACTTGTATGGAAGTATCATGTAAAATCACCTTAGGACTAGTGAGGTGTGGGATCTGTTTTGTTTCACAAATAAGAAATGGTACAAACAACTCTGAGAGTCTTCCAGAAGTACTTTGCAGAAATAGCAGAATGCTGCCTTACAAACATTCTCAGCTGGTGGCGTAAGGAGAAATGACTTCCTGGCCAACTTCTATGCTGCTTATTCTGAAATCAAAATCTGAGTACTCTTCATGTCATGAAGGGAACAACAGTGCTACCATTAAGTCAGGCTTTTGTTGTGTTTTCTGTTTGCATACCACTCCAGTCACTTCCACTACTGTCAGGATTGTTGATTAATTCACTCATGTTTCGTAAGTAGCTTTCAACATACCTTGCTGGATGCAGGGTTTTAAGTTTAAGGACACTGATCCAAATACTGTATTTTATTTTTATTCACTGGAAAACTATTACAGCAGTCCATTCTTACCTTTCTTACTGTTACACCAAGCGAATGTGTGTCTGTTTCTTTATCTCTTTTCTTTAATACGCCAACTACTTATGAAGCATGCCAAATGTTTTTAAGTAAAGAATGTTGTTAAGGTTTTGTAAGACATCAGGATAACCAAAGTTGTGTTGTTTCAGTATTGAAGCACATTGCTGAATTCTTTCTTACTGGAAACCATTTCAGACTTTCAGTGAAGCAAAGAATAAAAATGTGGAAGTCGATGAAGAATGCATTGTTCAATTTTTCTCCTTTTTTTTCTCCCCCAGATATGCATGAACATTTCAGCATCCGTTGTCATTTATCTGTCAGCACAAAACAAAATATAGGCAGTTGTTGCCACGGATGATGAACAAAGATGACCTATGTATTGGAATTACTATAAAACTTGAAGGAATGTTGGCATAGTAAGGCACTGGCCACAGCATGCTAGCTAGCTAGGCTTGTTATTCCATGTTGTACAAGTGAAGATGCTACACTGGCAGACTTCTCCTTTGAATGTTGTCAAGAAAGGAATCATCGGCTTTGTAGCACGCCTGCGTTTTCGATCTGGGTGCCGTGCACCTGCGGGTACCGCTGGCTGTGGAGCAATGACGCTTCGTGCGGTGCGGCTGTGAGAGCGGCCTCAGCGGAGGGGCTGCGCTGCCCTCGCGCGCCGTACCCAGCCCAGCGTGCCGGCGTTGGCTCTGCAGGCGGGCCGCGGGGGGCGCTGTCCGCCATGTTGGCAGCCCGCCATCTTGGGTTACCTCAGAGGGGCGGTGGGGTCGAGTGTGGGGAGGCGGTGCGCCGGAGGACTGAGGGTCTCTTCTCCATGCTTTTATTCACCTGTATTGTAGAAGTAGTAGCTCCTGCCCTCACGCGGTTCTCCGAGACCCAGGGTATTTCAAGTTCTTCATCCTCATGGACCAAACCCCATGTTGTTAAGTGGTAAGTTGGTAAAATGCTGCAAAAATGGCGGGTGCCAGGATACTGTCATCTTCTCATCCTCTCTTGGTTTCAAACGAATGCTAAGCACTTGGTCCCTCCTCAGTCAGTGTTTGTGTTGGACGCGTTCTGCGCTGAGAGGCGAGCTCAGCATGGCGTGCCTGAAAGCAGCAGCCAGACCTTGCTCCCCTGTTTGGCTGCAGGTGACTTCAGATATATCAGTGATGTTAGATTTGGGAAAACATCTGAATTCTAAACAACTATTTGGGCTTTCTTCAGCGAGAAAATAGAAAGGGGGAAGAAGTGACACTAATTTTATTTATTTTTTCCTGTGAAATGTGAAAAGGCTGTAGCAGCTGAAAGGCCCTGGAGCATCTGGGTTTTGTTTTGTGGGTGGATTTGCAGAGACCAGCATATCACTGACATGTTTTCCTTGCACTGGATTTTCAGAACTTCAGTTTGCCAGCTCTGTGTCAGCTATTTCTATACACGTTCAGGACGTGTTTCAGAGTGATGCATAGAAAGGAAAACTAACAAATGATTTACAAAAACATTTTTCTCAGCTTTGATTTTGCCACTGTAAGTGATTTTTGTTCCCACCACCTACGTTTGAATCTCAGGAGGGTAAATTACTTGTTAGAAGCAGTCATTTTCAGTGCAGTTTCCAAGCTCACGGTGTCAGCACATGGTGACACTGAGACATCATTCTGCCTTTGTAATGACTGAATATGGTGTTGTAAACTGATGTGAAAATACATCTGAAATGAATGCAGCTACATGTTGTTTTCAGTTATGCTGATTGCACGGACAGCTGAAGGTGGTGAACTTGCTCAGGCCAATGGTTCTGATCATTGACTAACAGTCTGTATTCAGGTATTTTGTATACAAGGATGGTTTTGGGGTGACGAGATATATCCTGCTTTCAACATTCAAACAGCCTGCACATCAGAAGTTTCTGAAAAGAGTGTGTGGTCAGTTCTGTGAATAAGTGATCAATATGTATTCAGAATGGCAAAGAAGGCAGGCACAAACTAAACGAGCCTGAATCTCTGGCTTAATTAATCTTAAAAGATATTCCTCTTTGCTTTTGTTGATCTTGTATGCCAGGCTAAGAATCCATGATTGTGCTAAACGTGTGCTGTTGAACACCCAGCTAGGCTTCCTGCAGGTTTATTTATTGCCTTCTTCTGTAGCAAAAGCAGTGGTTGTAATTTAGCTAAGAGTATTTCTCAGAATTAGAAGTGTATTTTCAATGGGACTCAAGTCCCATCTCTTGCTTTATGACAGTGTATCTGTGTTTATGCTTTCCACTAGTTGAATAGTTGAGTTCCTGGCCATAGATGAGGATGCTTTGTTTAATTTACAATAATTAAATAAAATCTTGGATCTAAATGTTCCTTAGGGAAGGTGCAGTTTTAACCATGTTGTTTACATTTAATTGTAAACATTGAGGAAAAGTTATTTGCGCCTCTAACATGGAAGATTTTGAATCCTTTTTATGTGCATGCATTTATGTAGGTGATGGGCAGTTTGAAGTATGTATAAGAGTCAAGTACTGCTTGTTTAACAGAATGCACTCAACTATCTTGTCTAAAATAAAAAACATTACAGCACTGTAGAACAGGATACAGAATTTCTTAAAATCTTCATTTTTTTGTTTTTGATAAACAGCCTCAGCAAATTACATGCATAAAATAACCACAAAAGATCTTAATTGCCAAATGTTTAATTAAGTCTTTTTAATGATACACAGTACAATGTATCTACTAGACTACAATTCACAACATAAAGCAGGTTTTGTATCTGCTTAAAAATATTTTTCATAATAAATTTATAAATAGATGAAGGTAAAGTATAAAAAATTACTGTAGTATGCAAGCTTGCTCCCTTGTCTCCTCATATTCCAAATGACCCAGTCAATACTGTAATAAGAGAAGTAGTTAGTGATTATTAGAAACATACAGCCTGCATCTCTTGAAGAAACCTTGGAAAAAACAGCAACAGATTTGTCCTAGAAAATGCAGAATATTTTTAACACTGTTATCCTCTAAACCCTTCAAATCATTTCAGAATGCAGTGAATGAATTCAATATGAATTAAAGATTTGTATTTTCTCCCCAGCAGGTGCATGAGCCAGACTCACTTGAATGCTATTGACTCTCTAGAGTTGTGCATCTCAGGAGACTGGGTGTTCCAGCTGTCAGGTATCAGTGAGTGAGGCACAAAAGAGGGAAAAGTTGGTTGAGAGCACTGAGCACATCTGACTATCAAAAATCTTGCGTTTCTTCACAAAGACAACATGAAATCTTAAAGCAGTTACAAATAACTAAATTCACCTTCTGCTCAGTATGCCTGTATCTACGTTATATCTGGGAAGTGGAGCAGTGTCTGATCTCTTGCATTGGCTTCCCAGGTTTTGAAATGGTATGTTCACACAGCACCATTTCAACACTCAACTCTACCGACTGAATCCCTCATATAACACCACCAAGCTCTTTTAGCAGTTACTCATCAGTACGTCACTCTCTTCAGAAAACATACATAGTTTTCTTTTGTCAAGTATCAAAACGCTTTTCATACCTAGAATGATCTATTTTTATACCACTTACAAAGGGGAAAATCCTTATCTATGCACAGCATTGAAATAGGAAATTAACATGAAAGATAAAGAATGGGTATGCTCTGCCTTTTGCATGAATGTCTTTTTTTTCTGATAACCATTTCCCTTTATTGAGATTCTTGTTCCACACAAGTCTTGTGCTTTTTTTGCAGTGGTAATTGCTGAAAATTCAGCTCTTAACTCTTAAAAGTAGCTTCCAATTGTCAAGGACAGTCTTTCATACCTTTGTTTTCATATGGAATAGTTTAGATAGCCAAAATGGTCAGATGCTCTAAAAAGGCAATTTCTAACGAAATAGTCTTCCATTTAATGTTTTCCTGTTTCTGTTTGCAGAAAGATGTGTGTATATTTTGGTTGATTGAATGATTAGAAATCACAGCTGTTAGCTTGCCCCAGTGTTGCTCCTGTGTAAAGTACTTTATCTAAGTCAAAATCTACAGAAACTTGGATCCCTTTAGCTAGCTATTACATTTGAATAACGTGTCCTTTAAGATGTCTTGGTGAGTGTGGGGGGCTTCAGACTGAAACTCCTACAGTGTAGCCAACTATGGTGTAGTTTGAGTAAAACTTAACAGGGGGACTGTTGTTCCTAGTATCTTAATCCAGAATGTAAACAACAAAAATATAAATGCAGGATAATATTTTGGTTTATGAGTAATTTTAAAAGGATATTTCACTTGTAATAATTCAGCCGGAATACCCAAGTTTGCATGGTTAAGCAAGCTTTAGATGAAGGTGGCTTAGATAGAAGCAGCTTTAAGAAGCTGCTGTACCTACCAGATGCCTTACCCTGCTTAACAGCACCTCATCAGCTGAATGAGTGCAAAGCTAGACTTAACTTTTTTTTTCAGAGTTTAGTATTATATAGATGTTAAGATCTTAAGTCACTGTCACAGAGATGGGAGAACTGTAATTACACCTGTGCAGAAAACCTGTGGGTTACAGTCCCACTGTCCCCCATTAGAGATTTGTGAAGATTTTTTTTTTTCTTTTTGTATATTTGAGGTTGAGAGAGTAGAAATCAGTATCAGCAGTTCAGTTCAATAATCAATTTGGAAGTAACTCAAGTGAAATCTAAAAATGTCTCACAAAAGAAATATACAAAGTAACTTTTTAATGATAAGAGCCTCAGTTTTTTCTTTTATTGATTGCAATGAGGTTGTATCTGATCCCCCACCATTCTCAGAGGGTGTCCCAGGAGAAAGGTGATGTACTTTTACATTAAGTTAGTCTGTTACGTACGTTCAGCTACAGTTCAACATTCCACTTTTGTTGGAGGTAGACAGCCATCAAAAGTCAAGCAGGAAAACCTGTAACTACTAGTGCAGTGTATTACTTTAACTATGAGAAGGAAACTACCTGCTTTAAACTGAGTAATCATTGACTAAACTGCCCAGATTTAATGAGATAAACTACAAAATTCTTCTTGGCTAACTCAGGCATAGGCTTTACTTTTCTCATTCTTGGGATCTTACTGTTAATTTGTTTTCCAGTGGCCTCATACAAATCAGTATGTCAAAACAAGGCAACTGTTGACACAATCTGCCTTCAGTCACACCTAAAGGTATAGAGGTAATTGGGGGACCTGCCATTATCAGTATTAGTGTGACAGAAACCCTTGTTGAAAAAAGACAGTAAAAACAAAGGAAATTTTTTTTTTAAAAAAAAAAAAGCTCTTTTGTTCTTCAGACTAAAATGAAATTATAAAAAAGGGTAGAGAGGGCTAAACTGGTGCTGGGAATCAGAATGATCTTGTTGTAGAATAGCTCTTTTTTTCCTAAAGTACATGGTGGGGACTGCATTTAAGTGCTTGCGTCTGAGATTTTTGCTGCTTTGAATAGTTCTATGACTATGTTCAGTAGAGTTGAAAGAAAACATGACCTGCCCAGCAAACACTAATGTATGCAGGAGGCTTGTTTTCAGACCAAAATCTCCGTGGGATGGGGATGGTCAACACTAAAAATACTACAACATTAAAACTGAGATAATATTTCCCAGATCTTTAAATCTCTTCCTCTAGGGAGAAAAAGAACTATCAAATCTGGGAAGAGCTCCCAGTTCCCTCAGGACTGACATGAGATGGCAAAAGGCATTCGAAGAGTAAACAGGGACACTGACTGGCTATGAGATTAAGTGATGGAGGTGTAAATCTCAGTGGAATAATAAAATAGCAGGGAAGCACTAGGGCAAAGCTTTGGTGTTATTTGAGTGTACTACTGCTCAGATGTATGCAGAATGTTAAGGTTTACAGCAGTAATGCATTTACAATACATGTGACAATCTTTTCTTCATATAAATCTGGTTTCCTCTGAAGTCAAAGAAAAAACTGAGTAACAGCCCTGGTTTTCAGAATTTTAAGAAATCTATGCTGTGTAATGAGGGCTTCATTTGGTTTGTTACTCCCTCATAAAGTCACTTGCACTTTACATACTTCACTGAGAGTAGTAAAATCATTAGGACTTTTCTTCTGTTCTCATATATATTCTCATTAATTTATATATATATATATATATAATTTGTTTTGCAAATTTGTTTCTAGGTTTACATTTATTTGATACAATAGTTACATAACTATAAATATTTGTAAAAAATTCCATCCATTATAATGGACTGGATGGCTAACTGGAGGTAAAATTAGCTTAAATCAAAAATCAGTAGAGAGAATAACACTGCCCACGCTCCTGGGAACCACATTCTGCTGATGATTTCAGTTTAGTATTTGCTTCTGCATTCCATTCTTAATTGTTATAGGGCAGGGATCAATGTTCCCTTCTGCGTTTATGTAATATTTTGCACACTTTGGGCACTGCCAAAACCAAATGATAAATACGTGGTCAGCCAAGGAGATCTGTTAAAGGCAGTTAGTGCACCATAGTCTTGTTAATGATCAGCTGCCAGTAAACAGGGCTCTTGGCAAAAGTTTACACTGTGAACTCTAATCATGTGCTACTGAATTATTCACTTGATGTACATCAGTGCACATTTGTAACCTGAGAGCTGAAACAATTTTTTTTTACCTGTAAATCTCAGATATATTGCTACTCCCTCTCTTCATCCAGGTAGCCTTTAGAGTTAGAGGACAAAGCTGACCTGAAGCCACAGTCTCTGTCTTTTTACAAAAAACAAATCTGAACCAGTGTGGGTCGTCACTGGAAAATGCAGTGAAGAAATCACTGATTGTATCTCCTGTTTTCTGATTGAGACAAACCCAACCTGCAGGCAGAGTCACAACCTTCAACTGTAGTGTAAGAGAGAAATGGGAGCTAATACTAAGGAAAGGTCAGCTCCTTGGTGTGTGGCTACTCATTTACTAGATGGGACATAAAACTAAGGAAATGGATTTCTCCATTTACTGTAAAAATAATAATAATAATAATAATTTAAAAAATCACTGACTGCACTGGAAGATCTATGTTACTTTTGTGTCTTGATCCAGTTTTAAGTTGATCTGCTGTGTAAACTAGCGATTTTGAGTAGTAGCAATACTGTCCTTAAATGCACATGAAATTTTATCTGCATGGATTAAATAATTTGGCACCAATCCTGCAGATACTGGAGGCTGTGCTTATCTGAGTGTCCATGTGCATGCATGCAGACCTGCAGGACTGTAACCTAAAGATGTAAACTATAAGAAGTCATGATAAGTCCAATGCTTGCCAATATTCTGCAGCTTAAAGACCATCTAACCAGGAGGAAAAACAGTAATCAGGACTGAATTTTAGCTTGGACTGTCTTCATAGATTTTCCTGGGAGTGGAATGCATGATTTCTAATAACAGGCAGAGTTTGGATGATTCTAATTTTTGGTTTTTAGTTACCACTGGGAACTCACTGCCTGCTATCTTTGGATGTAGGAGAGCTGGGTATGTCCTGCAAATGCTACTGGGTGTGTCCCCAAAATGCTACTGAATACTGTGGCTTAGTCTGCCCTTCCGTATAAAACAGTTATGAAAACAGTGCTAATTGAAAAATGTAAAGCCCTTTCAGTCTTACAACTATAAAACTTGAAATCTAGTCCCTTAGATTAGAAGCAAACAGGATACAAAGCCAAGCAATTCTTCAATAATCCTACATCATACTTTAAAAAACAAACAAACAAACAAAAAAACACAACAAAAGCCCACAAACAGAAAGACGAAGGAATGATTTAATATTTTCTGTATGAAAATGAATAGCACTGAAATTAGGATCTAATAGCCCTTTCTTCAGTCTTCCAGACTTTCATGATGCCGGATATGCTGAATGGCTAAAAACAGGTGTAAACCTGGTAGCAAACCAATCCACCAAGATCCAAGATTTTCAGAAGGAACAAAGTAACTTCATTTCATGTGGGTGCTTTCTGTAAATGAGCTACTTTAAAGTATCTAGACTGGAAAAATCACTGGTTGCTTCTGAACACCTTTGCTTTAAGTGCAGATCTAAAGATAAGCCTGCTTCTGCTCCTTTTTCTAATCTGAGTTTATGAGGTGCTTCAGCATGTAAATCCAGGGAGGACTGCTGCCATCAGCATTTCAACTGTATCTACAACATGCAGTATAGAGCTGAATCTGAAAGACAACTATATGATTATGAAATCTATTCTACTTCATAATGTGAGTTTTGATCAACAGTAAAAGATTTTCCCGGCGAATTGTTTTAAGAAACAAACAGTAATTAGTGACAGGGAGAGAGAAGTAGAGGAGTAGAAAGGGGGGAGGCAATCCCTCATGAAGATGCTAGACTCTTAAAACAAAAAAGCTGCAATGCATGCAGTTCTCAGCTACTGTGAAGTCTTCTTTCTAATTACATGCCCAGATTATATTTAAAAAAGATGGCTAAAAATCAACCGAATCCTACTTATACCACTTAAACAATAAACTCTCTGGTAACATTATGTCAAAGGTATGATCTGAATTAACCCTGTATATGACCGTGAGGCACGTGGCAAGGGATCATGGCTACCACTCAGTTCAAGATTTCTCCAGTTCCTGTTTCCAGTGGTGCAGGTCTTGAGTTTCAAATGAAATTAATAGACCTGAGGGCAAAAAATCCATGACACTCACTTGTAAAAGGGAACTATCACTGCAAACAGTAACAAATGCAATACATTTTCCCTCTTCTCAAGACTATATTTAAAATGACTAAACTGGTCCAACCCTGCCTGACAGTAAGTCAGATATCAGTGTGATACCACTCAGGGTGATTTTGCTATCTGTTAAAATGATAACTTAAGAAAATGAAAAAAAAAAAAAAAAAACAACCTGAGAGAAGGCTGCCCTTCCTGGGCCCATTCCATTACTAGCTAGCAATCCATATGCCCTTGGACAGATGACTGCTATTTGGTCCTGTATTGTGGGTATTTTGGAAATTGAAATACCTTTATCAAAGACACTCCTGTCACTTCTAGGCTTTCTGGTCACTGGCGGAGCGCTGAGGATTTGAAGAGATGCTGTCAAGCGTGCCTATTCTAAAAGTAACCTTCTTTGCCAACAATTCCATACTAAGTGCTTCAGTACTTTGGATGTGAGGCAGCCTTTTCCAACCATCCGTCTCCTACCCTGCATCACCAGTTAAAAGTTTTTTTTCCCACTGTCGTACCTGGCATGATGGTTACAGAAAAGGAAATGGCAGGGAAAAATGCTGATTAAGTTTTTTCAAAGGGCCTAACTTTTAGGACTACCTCTCAGAAGTCCCCTTATAAAAAAAAAAAAAAGACACCAAAGCAACCAGGATTGTGTCTAACTAACTTCTACAAAATGGCTGGTTTCACAGGAGGAGGAGAATATGGCTACTGTGCTACTCAGCATTAGGGTAAAGCACCATCTAAATTCCAGTAAAGTCAGGGATTTCACCTAGCTCATATCAGCAACCACACCCCCAGCCTTCTACAACGTCTTTGCTGTCAAGCTTGATGCTGTCAGTATTCTTCTCACTGAACATAGGGCCCCCGTGTCTCATCATGAGCTCTGTAGCCATCTTCACAAAAGCCTCCTCCACATTGCTGGAGTCTTTTGCAGAGGTCTCTATGGCACAGATGATATTATCATAGTGTTCAGCCAGACTCTGAGCTTCTTCCAGCTGAACCTCTCGAAGGTCACTTAGGTCAGACTTGTTTCCTGGAAATAAGAAAGAGAAATTTATGATGACTGTTTATGCCAGAGCTAGTGTTTGGCAGAAGGTTGTCATGTCACTTAGAGCAGCTGTAGAATTTCCATTCTTGGAGATTTTCAAAATTTAACTGAAAAGGCCCTAATCAACCTAACATCAACCTTGCTTTCAGCAAAAGGTTGGACTAAGTCGTCTCCATAAGACCCTTCCAACTTGTATTTCTGTATGACTCATATGTAGAACAGAAAAAAGTCAATAACCAAAGTGACAGGATTGAAGAGCAATGGCTGGAGAAAGAAAAGTGGGTTAGAAATCAGAGCTAACATCATTTTGTGAGAAAAAAAAGAAAAGAAAGACCCAGTGAAAACAACAGCAGTCTTCTGGTTCCTAAGTATGTCTGGGATAATGAAGCACTAACAGATTCACAAGCCCCAAGAATGGTGTCTGAGTCAGAAACACTGGAGCTGGGAGGCAGTATTTCAAATAGAGAACTGATGGATTCTAATTGCACTGAAGTTCTTCCAAAATCCTCAGTCTGCTGAAGGATGTGGGTGCACTGGTCCATCAAAATATGTCTGCTTGATATGATGGAACTTCTTGCCCTAGAAACTTTACAGTTGTAATCATCAGAATAGCTATATAGCAGCTCTGCTTCAGAACCTGGGTATCTTGGGTATTTACTTCACCACTAAGTGAGACGCGAGGGCTTAAAAGCTGGCTTCTGATACAAAGCTGCCTAATGCTTAAAAGAACTTAATCAAAGCAGACAGGCTTCTTAAGCATATTTGCCTGATGAATCAGCACTTTCTGATTTAAAAAAAAAAAAAAAAAATCCAATCAGCTCTATTACATACATTTTGATTTCAAGCAAAACCAAAACTTTTAACCATCAATAGGTTCTGTTACATTGCCCAGCATCCTGTAGTACTGAGTATTAATATTTTCAGTCCGTGATTTTAACTCACCGATCAGTAACTGCACTATGTTGGAACCAGCATACTTTCTCACATCCTCGATCCAGCGAGGAATGGACAGGAAGGAGCCTCTCTTGCTGATATCATAGGCTAGGATTGCTCCGTTGGCGCTGCGGTAATAACTCTGTGTGATAGTTCGGAATCTCTCCTGGCCAGCTGTGTCCCAGATCTGCAACTAAATAAAACAAAGCATGCAATGACACACTGGCTAGTAAAGGTTTTAAAATACATTAAGTTTTCTTGAGTCAAAAGATAGGACTTGATTCAATAGCCTTGTCATAAATCTCTTTTATACGTAACACATTGTGGCATTACACTTTTCATTTGATTATGATTTAAGGATAACAGTGTATACTGGAGAACTTTTTCTTGGCTGCCTGAACTTGATATTTACATTGAGATGCTTTGGGTTCCAGCCGGCGAGCTCTGATGCAGTCTGCTGTAGCAGACCATGAAATTATCACTTTGGTGTGTTTAGACCTACGCCTCTGTCACTTTCAGATACAGAGAGCTTCCAGACACTTTGCTTTTACATGGTAGAACAAACTTCGTATGGGGAAGAAGAAACGCTCAGCTGATGTACTTTTGCCTAAATCCAGTAATGTAAAAACTATAGGTTTAGTGTCAAGTTTTGAGTTCCCTGTACTAGATGTTCCAGAGGAAGAAGCCAAATAACCGAGAGTGCACAAATACAATATCTTGCTCGTAGGGAAAGTTTATTTTTAAATCCTCTTGTTTTACAGGTTGTCTAATGTTCTGGAATGTGACAGCTTATGTCATAGGAGCTTTTAATCCAAAGTAACTGTGGATTCTCATTCTCGATATAAATCTCTAATTCTTTATGAATCCTTCACAATTCTTGGGTGCAAGCAATAGTAATAATTGCTTGCATCCAAGCAAGCAAAGATTTTTCTTTTAATAATTTTAAATTTCACTTCCCCTCCTCCTCATTCCCAAACGATGATAAATGAGACACCATTGCTTTTTTATGTGCACGTGTGTATGTGTTTGTACAATTCATTACATTCTACATCTTCTCTTAATTGGATTGGACATAAGTAAATACTCGAGTCTTTTTCCTTATTGTGGACCTTTTGTTAATTTGTTCCCCTCTCTGAACCTCTTTCTTTTAAAAAGCTGGTAGTAACTTCAGTGATGTTTTACACCAAGCAGTACAGAACCATGTTCAATGTATTTATTTTACACATCAGTATTTTGTTTCTATCACCTGACTCTGCTGCATGAAAGGATAGGACTGACTTCAAGAGGCGCCTGGATGAGGAGCTACAAGATATGGTTTAGTAGCTTATGGTAGCAGTGGTAATAGGAGGACAGTTGGGAATAGATGATCTTGTAGGTCCTTTCCAACCTTGTGATTCTATGATTCTGTGTTCAAGCAGAAACTTTCATTTTGAAAAAGGCTGTATTGATCAGATAATGTTCCTATGCTAAGTAAGCATTTAGATCTCAAACAATGTATGCACAGCTTAAAAGGAATCAATTCAGTGAAAAAGTACTTCTCGGTTTTGGTAAGTTTTCTCAGAGAAGGGAAAGGGACTGTAATGGACTCAGGAAGCCACAAAACCATGCTTATTATTGGAACTGTTAATGATCTAGAGAAGTAAACAGACAACTATTAGACAAGGAAGTTAATGACAAGCTTTTTATGTTCTCTGTACTCAAGTCTCCCACTAGACCTCTTTGTTCTTTATATAGTTTAAGTTTCAGCACTTAAGGTCACGTGCAAAATAAGGCTAATGATGATCACCCAACTCCTGGGAGGAGACTGAGAGATATTACACATATAGAAGACTTCAATATTTTTTTAAATAAAAGCTTTTCATGTGGTATAAAATGACTTACCTGCAGAGAGATTAAGCAAGCTGGTCTTGGGCCTTATGCCATATACTGAATTTTGAAAACATCTCTACATGTACCTTCCATAGAATCACAGAATCATGGAAGTTGGGACAAATTTGAGGAGCTGACAAAGACAACCACTTGCTCAAAGTGAGATCAAAACTTAATTCTCCGAGGAGGATTTGCTCCATCATTTTCTGAGTGACCAAAATGAATCTGATCAGCCTGTAGTTGTCAGCATTTCTTGCTCTTTCTGAACTCGAGTATGACCTGGTGTCTCTGATCCTCCCAGATTTCCACAGTCGTTCAACAGCAATACAGCAACATCACAGTGACATCAGGAAGCTCTTACAGCATTCCCAGACATTTTTTACTCAAGTGTTTATGTCTGTGTCTTCACAGGACTAAATGTATGAAGTTGCTGAAGCCCTGCATCTCTGCTGGGAATAGCACAGACCACAGGCTTGATCTTCTGAGGAGCTCAAACAGCAATCTTCCTCCCAGCCCATGTGCTCCAGGCAGGTTCTCATAGAATTTTGATATTTTTGCTTCTCTAATTGTCATTTCTCTTTTATGTAAAGACAGAATCGTTCAGCATTTTGTGAGATCTTATTTATTGTGTTTTTTTTCCAATGCTGAAACTACAGTATGTGTTAGCTCTATCTTTGTGACATAACCCATAAGCATACATACTACCTGACAGACCTTTCTGTCTTGCAGAAGGAGCTAGGTGAGTGATCACTCTGTTTCAAACAAAGTCAGTCACATAAGGACATGATTTGCTTAAGCTAAACTAAGGCTACACAGTCATCAAAGACTTGCCCTCCCAGCTGCATAACTTTGCCCTCTCTGTGCTGAAACTAGCAGCTGTTAATCTGATTCACTTTATGGCTTTACTCACATATGTAACTGAAAAATAAGGATTTTTCTTTTGTTTGAAGAGTTAACACTTTGCAGTGAAAATCCCTGGATTTTCAAGACCAGACCATTTTAGACCCTGAACAACCTGGTATGTTCTCAAAGCTGACTACTTTGAGAGGGAGGCTGGATGAAAGACATGAAGTTCTTTCAACCTGAAATACTCTTGATTCTATGATTTTAGATTTAAAAACACATATATAGTTGCATGAAAATAAATGATGGCAGGCAATCATGTTTAATAAAGCCAATTCAAAGAGACTTGCTTTGCACTTAGAAGAGTAGATCAACCCTAATACACAAGGTTGTACAGTCAACTCTTGTTATCTTGTTATGCACAAGACTCTTATGGTTCTGCTAAGAGAACACTAGGCAGAAATATAGGAAAACATTAAATGTATCTGTATGCACCCATGTTCCTTTTGTAGGCACTTCAGATTTTCTGCGGATTTGTAGTATTTGTACTGTTTATTTGATCTATCAATGTGCACAAGTCTGATATATCTAAACCAAACCTGCATGGTGTTATGGAACTGTACATAAACAGCCATTTTTATGGGACTCGTGGAGTTACTTTACCAACCTGGTTACCTGAGGTGTGCTGCCTTAACTAAGATGCATACACATTCAGAGGATGTGAGGAAGGAAGACGGACAAGCTATATGGAGTTATGAACTCCAGCAAATCACACATGCCTTTAAGTCAGAAGGTAGTAAAATATATGATGGCTTTCTGGAAAATCATTCTTGATTGTCTGATTAGGCTCAAAGAAAGCAGAGTTTCAACCACAGAAACTGACCACGTTGAAAATGGTGACTAATAGACTGACCAAAGAGCACAGTAAATTAGTATTATCAAATGGTTTAATTTGGACTTGTCTTGCATTGATAAACATACTGTTTATCAAAGGTTAATGCTTAACAACTGGCCTCAGGACTCTTTAAATAAATTCCCCTTCCCTTATTTCCTACATAATTTATAAGTACTTTTCCAATTTTTCTAAAATATTGCAGGAGTCCAGGTTTACCTTTGTTTGTGAAGCAGCATTAATAATAACTAGGTATATCCTGCAGTCAATAACTTCTATTACAAAAATAGAAACGCCATTTTATGCTATGAATTCTTCAAAATATAGCAACTTCCTTAAAGTTTCCCAGCACTAAAAGGGTGGATGCAAAGACTCCACTAAATCATTCTAAACCAATAGACTGTGTCTAACAAATCACAACACTACTCCTAAAAAGTCTTACTGAAACAATCTTGCAACTTTGACAAAAGTGCAAAAAACAAGCTCTGTATAGCAATATATTTAAAGTACCATTCATACATGCAATAGGTACGATGAGCTGATCCATTTGATTATTTTTACTACAAAGTTTTCAGAGAATGAAGAATTACTGTTTGCTAAGCATTTTGCATTCCTGTTTGCTCTGGTGTTATGAGTGTCAAAGTAGTTGAGATGAGAGCTATACTTTCCTTTGAATATCACATTACTGCTTCCATGTAATAACCAATTGATT